TTATTTTGTTGTAATATTTTTGAAAGAAGTATCTTATGCTCACAAAGGCTTTTATTTGAAAAACAGTAATATTGTGAAATATGTTTAATTATAAGCTTTAAATAACAGTTTTTTTTTTTTTTTTTTTTTTTTTGGTTAGCACGGATTTGGTGCTAAAGAAATATTTCTCATTATTGTACTTAATTCGGGTTGATTGACAGGCGAGTGGGTTGTTTTTCACCGTTGTCCAGGAGGATACTATGCGATGTGGTTCACGAAATGTTGGACCTGTTTGAACTTTTAGATCAAAAGACCCTGTGAAATATGTATTTATATTGGAAGACATCTGCTGCTTACAAAAGTGTGGATAAATCAAATGGCCTTCAGTTAATAAATTGACATACAGTATAAGAATGTGATATAGTATAATGTGTGAAGTGACTCAAAATGGAGAGATTCTTTACTGATATGATGACTCATTCATCTAAAGCATGTCAAATGATGTTATATTATAAATGCTGCTCTCAACTATATAGTTGTAGCCATAGTTGCTCATTTAATAAGAACACTTATGATTACATTTTTGAAAGTCTGAGTTCTGAAGAGAACTATCCAATAGCAGTATTTTCTTGAAGTGACATGAGATATGTCACTTTATTACAGTGTTTGGTTACACTTTATTCCGATGGTCCACTTTAGACATTCTACTAAATAGAGCTTGAATGATTGAATGGAATTCAAGCGTAGTTCAGGCAGACTGCTGATCGCCAGCAATATGCTAATGAGTATTAGGATTTCTGCTTAGAATATCATCCTGACAGGACTATCGTTATGTGCATTGTTGTATCAAATGTGTATGTAGCTAGACATATTTGGTTATTGTTTCAGGCTGGGGGATTTATCACTCTCAACTTGTTCCAAACCTGTATGAGCTTCTTTCTTCTGTTTAACACAAATAGACGATATTTTATTGGTAACCAATAAAACCATGTTGGTATTTTTCTCAGAAGCAGTCCTGACTGAACTATAAGGAATTGTGCTGCTACGTAATCTAACTCTCGTTACAGTAGTAGACTTAGTAGACTGACAGGTTAGGGTTAGTAGGATAAGTTGACATGTAGTTGCAAAATTACTTATAGTAAGAAGAATGCCTAAAGTTGACCATCAAATAAAGTGTTACCCAGTGTTCTTACCAACAGTGTGTCTGGCAGAAATGCCATCATAGCATAGCTTTCTTTGGGATTTTGCAGTCTTTTTCTTGGTTTTCTAGGTAACTGTGAAACTTGAAGCAGTAAATTCCATACCTCTAAAGGTGCAGTACGGGATTTTGGGAGTAGCAGATAATAGCACACATAAAATGTCCATTCTACATGACAGATTTCATTGAAATAGGAGTCCTGAGAAATCACCTGTCTCAGCGAAAGCCCTGGGATCTGTAAATGGCAGAAAAGAGTTGCTTTTTAGCCATCCAGATCTAGTAATGCTCCCTTCCTGTAGATCATTTCACACTTTCTAGTAAGCTATATGTTTTGATACTGATGTTAGCATGTTGTAGTCCCATCCAGGTTTCTTAACTTCATTGGTCAACCAATAAAATCAACCACATGACTATGCTTAGGGTCCTTTTAAGTAAATATATTGATGATTTTGATTTTATTTAGTTTAATGCAGGCAATATTCTACGTATGTGCCACCATATGGACAACTTTATGCATCCTTGACAAACTTTCCTGTTAAAGGGAGACTTGTGTCCCGCATTTAGTAGATGTTTGTGTGGCTTTATTTGAATTACTTGGGTTATGTTGGTCTAAGATGGTTGTCACCATGTTTTGGAGAGTTACAAACTTGACATGAGCAGGGTGCATTCAACCTCATCTCCATGGTAACTTGTGGCATTATGGGAAAAGAGACAGAAACTGAAGACGATGCTGCTGTTTTTTAATGAAGGCTGGTATGAGAGCCAGATTTGGCCCCAAATCCATCAGCAGCATTCTGGCATCACACGGGGAGCATTTATACGTCTCTGTGTGTCTAATTAGATACTTTCCCTCATTCTGTGAGATGACAGTCCGGTGCTGAGGAGAGATAAACAGGGAGCAGGGTGTAAGCAACACAAATCAAGCACACATAACAATTCCTCAGGCAGAATGAGACATACTTGAGCTCTTCTACTGATGAATGATGCAAGACCAAAAATAGGATCAATATTTCACATTTTAGCAGATGCAAGCTATATGGATGAGCTTTCAGCTTACTAATAAACGAATCACTAAATATGAAGCATGCAAAGATTATGTCAGGGTTCTGCCCTGGCAGCTTTGTCTCTTGTATCTTTGTTTAATGTTTCCATGTTTGTTTTGTGCTTGTGCACATGGCTTTCTCTTTGTTTATGTTGGCCATGTGCTCCTTTTGTCTTGCCTCCTAGTTTCAACTTACCACGCCCCCTCGTTTAGTCCTTGTCTAGTTGTCATTCACTAATTGTCTTCACCTGGTCCTTGTTTGCTTCACTCCCTTTATATTGTGCTTCCTTGTTGCTTGTCTTTGCTGGATCGTTGTTTTGTGTTCATAATCTAGACCTTTCTCGTGGTATAACTAGGTGTGATTGTCCAAAGCTCTCTCTGTAGCTTGTATCCTTGCAGCTTTTGCTTTGGGTTATCTTAGACTAACTTCCCTTTCTTTTACTTGAGCTATTCTAGTTTTTGATTGGTTCTGTCTTAGATTTATAGAGTTAGTTTGTTAGTTTATTTATGTTTTAGCCTGGGTTTTCACTTATTTAATACCTAGCTTTCTCCTGTTGTAGACTAGTTTTACTTTAGTTATTTACTTTTGTGTTTTGTTAGTTTTCCTCTCTTATATGTAAGAGTTTAGTTTTTCAGTTACTTAACTACAGTGTTTGCCATGCCTTGTACTTCTCTAATGTTTTAGTGTTTTGCTCTTGTCTTGTTTCTCCTGTATTATGTGTCTGTGTGTGTTCGAGTTGAGTCCTGTCCTGCCCATCCTGAGACTGCACTGACTGCTGGTTACTGGGCTGCTCAATCTTGCCCGGGTCTCCTGTCTGGACCTCTGTTGTGGGCTGTCTCTGGACTGTGCAACTGTTACACATTGTCACATCCTATTGTCAATAAATCACCATTCACTGCTCATCTCTGCGCTTGGGTCCTGTTATTTCCAGCGGTTCCTGACAGATTAATGGTAAAATCAGGCAACACTTTCCATAGTGTACAAATTGGGACATTTTATTATGTTATATGAAGTCTTCAGTTAAGAACCCTGATACCAAAATGTGCACTCTAATATCTAAAAATATGTCTAATACACTGATTCATACATTAAGCTTTAAATTAACATGAAATGTCATCTTAATATAATCTATAATAATATAGCCCATATATTTTGACTTAGTTTTTACAATAAGCATAAAACAAACACAAATTTAAGTCGAGTAAACTAAATATGTATATCCTCCTGGGACCCAAGAATAGACTTTTGTCCACTGTAGTGGACATTATATTTTAGTGAATTTCTCTGACATCATACATGTCACATGACACAACCTGGGTGTCCTGTAAAGAGCACATTCAGGACTTTTCAGAGATACCAAATGTTTGGAGGTTTCACCATGAAAACAACTTCTCCTTGGTCTTTAAAAATGTCTGACATTAATTTAGTGATCAAATGTAGCATTCTTATGGAAATATGATAATATAGTGTAATTATAATATAAATTGGACTACTTTTCAAATTGTATTTCATAAAACAACATCTCAGGAAAATGTTAAGGGGTTTAAAAAAAACAAAAAACTTTCTGTTACAGAACAGGGCATTGATTTCAAACGTGTCCACTGTAGAGGACATCAGGACTAAAATCATGTTTATCAGGCATTCTGGGAGACACAACAAGTGAATATGGAAATAAATTATACATCAATATTCCTATGAAATGTTAGATATTATTATTAAAATGTTGCCAATTATTACTCCAATTATTACCCTTTATTCTTTCATTAAATGTTGCTCCCAGAACACATTAATGTGCAAATTAGATACAGTGTATAGATACATTGCATTGAATGGGAATATTAACTTATGGCCATTTTACCCACATATTGCAAAAAGTAAAATGGTGTATCAATTCATTCCATTATTTCTTTCATAACATAGGTGAGAATAATCTTTATACAAATTTTGGTTGAAAAAATCCTGAAACCCCAAAATGTATTGGTGATTGAAAAAAAAATCCCATTGTTTTTGCCTATACATATAATTTCATGTCATTTTATTTTTTAAACAACTTAGTCCTGGCGTCCACTACAGAGGACATAGCATAACGTATGAATAAAATATTATTTTATATATATGTTTTTTAACCATTTGTTTATTGTGCTCTAAACAGTGTGATGACATGGAAAAAAACTAAATTCAAAAAACTTTTTTTTTCTGGGTCTCAGGAGGCTATAATAATACAAATTTGAATTAATAAAAATGATTTAAAATTGTTGCAATTATTATATTTTATAATTGATAAATGTATATTCCTATTTGTTACAACCCCCAAAAAAATATTCGGATCATTTTATTCCTCATAACTATGATAAGGGTTGAAAGATACAGATATTCAATGTATTTAAAATAGCTCTATTTCCTTCTGGGTTAACTTTATGTAAAATGATTGTTTATTTGTGGAGCATGTTATGCATATTGTATTGCTTAACCGCAGTCACAGATGGCTGTTTACATTTATTTGCTTTCTGCTACTTTCTTTTCACATCTTTGAATTCCGAAATCCTCAGAATGTGTCCGTGGGGAATTTCATCTCCTCTCCACATCTCGCCCTCAGGAGACTTCCTGCTAAATTAGTAAACTTCATTCTCTTAACTAGCAAACGCTTTTGCTCAAGAAGACGTCGGAAATCAGCATAAGGTCGGCAGATTCAAAGTTGTGTTGTGGCACCGGATACCAAGCCCAATAGTGTGATTCTGGGCAGAACCTGAGGTGAACTGTGCTGTAATCTGTTTGGGATAATGAGAAGCTGTGCGTTTCTGGAGCATTCTGTGAGTTGATGCCATGCACCACAGGGCTTCCATCAAAGTGGCATAGAAAACCTTTGCCAGTCAGCCAATAGACGTCCTGGAGCGGGAGACAGATTTCTGGGCAGGGACTCCCTCGTTGCTCTCAGTTCTCCAGGGAATCTCTGGAGGGATGTACTTGAGAGGCAGTAGGCATCTGTAAGTGTGTCATTTGCATGTCTTCTGTTGGCGATCAGTCCTGATTTTGTTGGTTTGGGAGAGTGCAGTTGGGGGTGGACTTTGATCTGCTGAGTGTGTGTTTGTGTGTGTACTTGGTATTCCCTATGTTGTGAGGACCAAATGTCCCCACATTTTTGACCTTGTGGGGACTTTTTTTGGTCCCCATGAGGAAAACAGCTTATAAATCATACTATGGGATATTTTTAGAAAATGTATAAATACAGAACGTTTTTTGTGATCGTTAGGTTTAGGTATAGGGGGTAAGGGGATATATAACATAGTTTTTGTATAAAAATAATTATGTCTATATGGAATGTCCTCATAATAATAGGAAGACCTGTGTGTGGGTGTGGGTCAGGGCCGTCGCCAGAACATATAGAATGGGGGGGCATTTAATTTTCATGGGGGGCACACTTTTTACGATCTACAAAACAGACAGTCACAAAAACAATAACATCCCCTATTTAGTCTATATTAGAGCTGTCAAATGATTAATCGCGATTAATCACATCCAAAATAAAAGTTTGTGTTTACATAATATATGTGTGTGTAGTGTGTATAATAATTTTGTATATATAAATACACACACATGCATGTATATATTTTATATATATTTATACATAATTAATATTATATATAAATATAAATATTTTATATATGAATAACACATTTTTCTTAAATATATACATGCATGTGTGTGTATTTATATATACAAAATAATTATACACACTACACACACATATATTATGTAAACACAAACTTTTATTTTGGATGCGATTAATCGCGATTAATCGTTTGACAGCCCTAGTCTATTTATAACTGAAATAGACCAAATTCTATATTTAAAACAACACCAAAACACTTGCGCTTCCCCTTTAAAAACATTTACTAGACTATTGCAGGATTTGACATGGCAGAAAGCTCGCAAAGAGCGCCTATTTTATAATCTTTAAAAAGCGGTTATACAACTTCATCGCGATCTCACAAAGTTCCTAGGCTATCAGTAAAGCTGATACACAATAATGCCTTATTTACATAGCCTAACTGCTTATTATAACGAGAGGATTTGCACGCGTGTAAAACTAATCCACTCACCGCTCAAAACACCGGAGTTTAGCCAATATTCTTTTATTACGGAGAAAACTGATCCTAAACCAGCATTTATGGACAGCTTTTCCCTCTAAAAGCAATCAGAAGTATATGGAAGCTTGTTTTCGCCACGGAATAAAAAAAATTAAAAGATAATTGCGACTTTTTATCTCACAATTCTCACATGGATTTCTCTCCATTCAGAGTTTTTCTCACAATTCTGACTTTATAACACGCAAATGTGACTGTATATCACTCAACTCTGACTTAATAACTTGCCATTTTTATTTTATATCACGCAATTCTGAGAAAAATTACCTTTTTTTTTACATGGAAACAGTAGGCTGTTTTTAGCAGGCAAATGAATCAGAAAATTCGACAAGCCCGCTTGGCCAGGGGAAGGTAAGCCTTGCACAGAGCCTTACACGCTCCGACTAATTTTCATATTTCTGAAGACAATGTGTTATTTAAAGTTACAGAGATTAGTGCACCTGTGTGCTAAATTCTGCTGACGACATTTCGTTATGGAATACGTGGATACGTTTTTTTGTCTCAATAGTAAGTTTGCTGAATGACCATATGAGGGGGGCACGTTGTGTCATCTGGGGGGGCACGGGCCCCTAATCCCCCTTGGCGACGGCCTGGTGTGGGTGTACATTTTTTAAATCAAAAGTTGTGTTTGTTAACATACAATGCACTGTGAAGTGTGAACTAAAATGAACAAACAAACAACTCTATTTTTATTAACTAACAGAGATTAATGGATGTTGTAAGAAATACATTGCTCACTGTTAATTAATGTTAGTTCATACATTATCTAATGTTAACAAATGTGACCTTGTAAAGTGTTAACATTTTTCATGTTAAATATGTATTTTAAAATCTAGTTTATGTCACAATTAACTGTGTGAAGGTCATTATCTTTCATTCTATTCATTTGTATTTATTGTTTGTTTGTTTGTTTACTCTTGTTTGTGTGCTATATTCAATTTATTTAATTTATATTTACAATTTATGTAACAAAAGATACTGCAGAAAATGTACATGGTAAGGATGTGTCAGCTAATTACTTAAATTAACATTCATGTGAACATTTTGTTTCAAATTACTTAAAAAAATTAAGTTAAATACATTTTTTTTTTGGATTAATTAAGTTGCATACAATGTTATCTATATTTAAATAGACATTTGTTCATTAAGCAGATGCTTTTATCCGAAGTAACTTACTAATTGACATTGATTTTCTGAGTTGACAGAAGCAGCTAGGAGAATGTGTACTCTACAGTGAAGATCAACACATCAAATAAATGCTTCCAAATATAGCTGACAAAATGTCATACATACTTTATTTCACTGAACAGATTGCATACATTTAGAATAACAAATCAACCACTTATACATCTAACTAGACTAATGCAGAGAGATTTTTATATCTCTCGTTTCCTGTCTGTCCTTCTCTTGTTGTCTCTCCAGAGTTCCTCCTATGAGAGGAACCTCAATAAAGAAATGGTCAGAGTAAATAATGACTGCACCGCATGGTGTTCCCGTCATCGGCAGCCCATTGCTGAGATGAGGACGGCTTTAAGCAGTGGGAGATTTGAGCTGGTTTGTCCCACTGTGTTCTGATTGCTAATACACAGCAGTGCTGTTCCAATTACCAACCCTCTGATGCCACCAGACTCTACTAAAGCCCATCTGAACCGTCTGTGTTTGTCAGGGACTGAGTGCACTGTCAAACACATGATTACAGTGAGAGTTTTGACGTATCTCCTTCAGGGAATGTTGCTCAATTCAGTCTAAATCACACTTAAGTAACGTCACTCCAGCTCTGGAGTACTGAGTCGGTCATAAGCACAGGACCACGGGACCACAGGCCTCCCATAGTCTCTTGCACACACATATAATTCATTTGATGGTGCTTCTCTGAACGCATACTCAGCAGGGAGGGTGTTTGTTTGGGTTTTGGCACTTTCTACACAATGCAGTATTAAAGAGTCATGCATCATGACTTTGGTCGATATCTTGTGCATAAACCATATCTCTAACAAGCTACATGATTGTAAACCACAGATGAAACCTTGGCTTGAGTTCATAAGATGAACATATATTGGATGCAAATCACCAAATATCCTCAAGGCATTTTGTTATATACTATTTTGAAAAGGATTGTAGTAAAACAAAGTCCCAAACCATCCGCTTTAACTTTAATGGTTTTGTTCATGGAAAATAAAGAATATAAAGCTAACTTCTTGCAAATATGGTGGTTTTGCATATGATTTAAGAAACAGTTCAACCAAAGATAAAATTGAAATCATTACTCGTCCTTATGCTGTTCCCCACCTGCATGCTTTTATTTATTTCGTGAAACTCAAAAGGAGAATCTTGAAAGCATGGCTTGTAAATAATGCCATCATTTTAATTCCTGGGTGCACTATCCCATTAAATGCAGTAGGCAGCCAATAGAGGTATACATGTAGGTTTTATATTTCCCACATTGGAGTTTTAAACAATGTTTAAATCACTTTTAATAGAAAATGTAGATCAGACAGCTCTTGGATTTCTCTACTGAATAAAATGTAGTCTGAGAGAAAGATTAAGAGTCTATTGAAAACTTGCTGATATCCAAGTCAACATGCCAACATTTCCTACTATGGAAATATTCAATTATTTTTAAAAGAGCCCTTAAAATGGTGTTGTTAAGTTCTGCTTTACCGAGCAGCCTGACATTTTGGGTTTAAGAGCGATAGTTCATTATGCAGGTCCAATAGGCAGTCCTTCTTGGAAGTGAGGGAGACTTTATTGAATTCCACTGGGCTCTGTTGAAAATAGCTAAAAGTTCCAGCTCCAGTGAAGAAAATGAGATAAGTGAATTGTAAATCTCCGGGTTAGAAATATTGGACTCTCGGGGTAATAAATTTCTGTCAGACTCAGACATGTAATGAGCTTAAATAGTGGCCGAGTTCAGGGATGCTCCTGAAGAAGAAAAAAACAAGATTTGAGCGGAGAGCTTGTGTCATCGTACTTCTGACGGCATAAGCAACTTTGGGAGTTTCAGTATTCTACTTTCATAAGCCTTTAACTCCTAGGCTAGCAGGGCTAAATGTTAATGCCGATGAGAGCGACATAAAACATGACAGACCAGAGTGGAAGATTTTACACGCATTTTGATAATTGTGTTTTATTTTTGCCATATTAAGTGTAAAAGTTGTGCTCTCCAGAGGTAGAGGAAAGTTTGTGTTTCAAGTTCTCCAAAATAACTTTCTTATGACTAGTGCAACTTAAAAGTATTTATTCAAAGTTATTGATCTACACTTTGTTTTGAAAGGAGGCATATACGCTGACGTTGTAATGACAGAGTGCATATACATATAAATATAAATATGATATATACATACTATATATATATATATATATGTATATGTGCATACAATTTAAAGGTCTCTTCCAAGTAGACTATTGTGCTGTTTTTAGGCACTTTTTTGTCAGCTATATAATTTACACTGCATACACAAACCACATGAAGATTAATAATACATTAGCATAATATGTTTTGGTATGGAAGGATGGTTCCAATCACCTGCAAAGTCAAATATTCTCACAGGGCATTTTGAAACCACAGAAAATAGTTTTGAGCCAGACTAAACTCTGACCTTGTTTTAAAAAATGAATGCAACCAGTTTTCTCTGTTTTATTCAGCAGTGGCTTGCTTTTGTCCTAATGTGTGTACTCTTGGTGACTCTAGTCCCTGGTGTCGTCTGTCATCTCTATAGTAAATGTCGGGCAGTCAGGCATGTTGTGTGTTAGACACCTCCTCAGCGGCACTCAAATGCCATATGCAGAGAGATGTTCTTACTGTCTCTTTGTCCTTGAGACGGTCAGACTCGAGAACACTGCACGTTCAAATGCTCTTAAACATAGTGAGATCTTCTCCTGGTGATTTTGTGGTTATTTAAATTGTTTGAGTGGGGTTTTTTTTGTTACATTATCATACTGATGGAAAAAGATGGTCTAGTATGTTGTCAACATGAAATATTTATTTTATTTTATTTTATTGGAATTTACATTCAAATACAACTTGAAAGTAGTCGCATTCTGTATGATTCAACAGTAGTGTTATTCGGCATTCATATAATATAATGGCAACTTTGAAACTACTTTCTTTTTCAGATTGCATTACTATGGACTCTTGTTTACGCCACTGAAAAATAAAAAAGGTAATTTATCTTACAATTTATCTCTCTTTTCATCTCGCAATTCTGTTTTTTTCTTGCAATTGCAAGTTTACATCACAATTTTTCTCAGAACTGCGTGACACAAACTCCCAATAACTTGAATAAAGTCAGAATTGTGAGATATAAACCCTCAATTGTAAAACAAATGTCTGAATTGTGAGTTTTTCCCCCCTCAGAATTAGACATTATAAATCCGCAATTGCGAGTTTATATCTCACAATTCTAAGAAAAGAAGTAATTGCGAGATATAATCATGCAATTGCAAGAAACATACAGAATTAGATCAAAAGTTGCATTTATCATTTATCATTGTTTTATCACGTGGCGGAAACAAGCTTCCATACATTACGAAGTTATGACAGAAAAAAGTTGCTGTATCTTTTAGTATTCCTATTAATTTCAGTGGCAGTTGCTAATGTCAACCCAGACTTACTTGAAATATTTTACTTTTTAATTTCTGCATTTACGAAATACGTGGTTCTGGGTTCAATTTGCTTCACTTTTCAGGTGACGCGTCCAGAAGAGGCATCATAAACAATATATTTTTTATTATTATAGGTGAGCTACTGAGCAAGTTCACTGTGTAAGAAAAGCCATTCAAATGGAGCTGGTTGTGATGCAAACATCAGAATGTATTAATTTATAAATATAGTAAATGTGTTTTGAGGTCATGACGTATTGTGCAACCACACGAAAATAAGTCTTTATAAATAACGTGCCCCTGTAATCATAATGTCTGTGAAAATTAATAAAACTTGTTGGTTTTACTACCACTAATAGTCGTTTCAACTGGAAACTGCAGTGATTTGTATGTATAGGTACTGTATAGGAGCTTTTAAAAAATGTAGAATAACTTTTTTATTTTATTTTTCTCAAATGATCCTAGGTTGCAACCAGGTGCTTTAAAAAAATGATTTAGTAATTGACATCAAAAATCAAAAGAAAATGTGAGAGGTCTTTCAAAAAACACTATTGCTTTTATTTCCTCCTGATTTTTCAAGCAGTTCCGGCTGTGGATCTGAGAGATGTTAAAATGTTTGAATAAGTCATTTTTTTGCAGTTTTGCAGACATGTAGAGTCAAAGCACCTAGGTTGTAACATGCTAATGTGTCCATTTCACACTTTTAAGATTATATATTATTTGTCTTATTTTTGGGGGTATTTAAATGTGTGTGTTTGGAATTGTGAGCTGTTAGCGGTGTTTCACGTTGACTTTGACCTCATTAACCAATGAACCTTTTTACATTCTCAGTACGTTGGTATCCTCTCTACTTTTTATCTGTCAAATTCTTATTCTATACCTCTCTTTTATTTAAAAAAGATTTACATTTGAAGCAACATTTTGTCCCATCAGCTGTAAAGAACGTCCTCTTCAACTCCCTCTTTCTGTCATGGCCGCCCTCAGCTGACTCAGTTGACAGGAGCTCGCCGTGGGGTCCCTCGAGGGGTTTTCTGAAGATGATTGCCTTGAAGCTGAAAATGCTATGATAAAAGCTTCTCTTTTCATTTATCTTCCTTTTTTTAAAGTAAAGCGAGGCTGTACTTTGCCTTTTAACCATTACGACTGACCCTTTCCTCCGCAGCAATTTCCAGCGATTCTTGATTCTGATTATCTGTGACACTTCATCGCTTTTATCAACAAATGCTTGCTTGCTATTTCAGATGTAGGCTACCTATGTAAAAATCACTTTTAGGAATGGTACAAGGGAAACATCAGAGAAATCTATAACACTTATTTTGATGGTCCCCTTTAGGTATTCTGTTGACAGTAATGTTGTAACTATAACTAACAGTCATTAGAGTATTAGAAGGCTGTCTGCTTAATATCATGCTAAGACTATTTTGATGCTCCTCCAACAGATATTCTACTGACTTTAATTAACTTTGCAAGTACATGGTTCTACTAACCACAACCCCTTATTCTACTAACCAACCCTAACAGTCTACTTATACTTTACTAATACTCTACTAATACTATAATGAGAGTAGTCAACAGAATGTCTAACAGGGACAATCGAATTAAAATGTGACAGAGGAATAAATGTAACTGAGCAGGTAGAGAAACGTAGTAAATGTGTGATAGATGATATGAAGAAACTTTGTAGTTCATATTTTGAGGTTGCTAACAAGCCAGGCGTTGGCATGAGGGAAATAGATGTGTTTGAGATGCTAATGAGCAACCGGGATACAAATTGCCATTGGGTCACATGGTATTTGGAGGAGTACACATGAGAGTTTACACCTCAATGAGAGAGAAATACAGTAGTGTGAGCAAAATGTACATGGTGTAAAGCAGAATTACTTTGTGGTTGTTGAACCAATTTTACATCGATTGGATGTAATTTTTGCATCCTTTGATTTTACAATTTCATC